GTAGTTTGAGTTATACATCTCAGGAAGAACAACATTTCTTTCTGCTTCCTGAATAAAAATTATATTGCTTATAGTATAATCGTATAACTACTTAAATATTCATCAAATTGTACCCACCAAATAACAATTTGTAATATATAGAAATAAGAAATGAAGTTATTTCATTCATAAAATTTATAAATGTATAGTGTGTAAAAATTAATCTAATTACAACTGGATTAATCTCTTCTTCTGCCATCTTTCTCTTTTCCTTCCTCATTGCCTTCCCAGTCATTTATAAGTACCAAGAAATCAAGTTAATGTAATTTTCTTCTATATGCACCTATTAATCACTATATATTATGTAACTAGATCAAGTAAGTTGCTTGAGCAGAATCATTTTCATTTCATATGTTCTTCATTTTGGAATCCATGCATCCTATCTCCAAAGACTTCATCATCTGTACAATGACACAAAAGTGAGTTAAATCTAATAATCTGCTCACAAAAAAAAAATACAATCTTATATGTTAATTAACTACTTCATTGATGACAGATGGCATCTCTCCTGCCACCTTCTTATGGTTTTCCTCCTTGGTTGATATCTGTAAATTAACAAGCAAACAGGAACTATTATATGCATTTCTAACTAAGAGGCTTAAATATATATATATATAAAATATATACACTCCACTCACTGATGGAATCTTTTCTTTCTCCATCTTCTTCCTGGGTTCCCTCACCACATGTGCCTGGCACAATAAAAAAAATAAAACAAATCTAGACAAAATATTTTACTACTAGAAAATTAATGATGGATCTAACATTTCGAATATATATACACAAAGCAACATACAGGAGAAGTCCCTTTTTCTCCATCCACCACTTTCTTTGGCCTGCCAACCTTCCTTTATACTAGAGTACACCCTTGTTCCCCATCCACCTTATTTTCCCTTGGCTTCCATACCTTATTCTGCACTACAGAACTACTCCCTTCTTCTGCTTTTTTTTCCTTAGCTTGGAAGTTGCTTTGTATTGGTAGACCTCATAAAGTATAAAGTCTGTGACTTTCACTGTTGATCAGAATAATCCCCGTGATTCTCTATGAACAAAGTACAATAATCCCACATCAAGTAAATGTTGTCAAGGTTTCTGGGTAACCATGTATAAAGTTTCTAATTTCTAGATGCATTTTCTAAAAGAAACAACTTGTTAAGTTCACAAAACAAAGGGGACTTAATGAATTACATCTCATAGTTGCACGCTGTCGTCGCTCTATAGTCCAACCTTTGGTTCTTTATCGAATTATGTACCGGTAATTTGTTTTGGGAGGAATGAGGTCGTCAGAACTGAACTCCCTTACCCTTTTTTGTTTTAAGATAAAGCATTTTAATAAGTTCTAAAAAAGCATCGAATCCTTCACACACATATATATATATATATATATATTTTGATACTTACTCCAACTATCGCTTGTATTTGTTCGATGATGTTGGATGTTGTTGATCCTTTAGCATTTGAATTTTGATTTGACCCAACTTCTTCTTCATTTTGTTTAATATACGGTAGTATTTTGCAACCAATAAGTTCTAGTCTCTCAATTTTTGTATGAAACATGTTTTACAAAGAGAGAGAAAGAGACATAGATAGAGATAAAGAGAAAAATGCATATCTCGAGATGAATCAAGTAGTAAACAGTCATATAAATTTAGGATGGCGACCTTGGATGGATTTTTCATTTTTTATTTCCTTTTTGTCTTAACCTAAAAATGTATTTGATATATCAAACCTAATTTAAGAATATTTTGAATGAATATGAAAATTTTATAAAATTTATGTGTTTTTAGTTAAATTTGTAATTTTATATTTATAGTTAATTTTAATTTTTAAGTAATACATTTATAATTTAATTAATGATACATGTACAATATTCAATTTTTTTTAATTAGCACAACATATAAATAGAAAGTTTATACTAATAGTGAAAAATACCTTACTTATTTTACCAATGGATATTTTCTATTCGTATCGAAAATATATATATTTTCCTTCTAGTGAAAGTAAAATACTTTTTGACTACTCAACAGTAATATTGCAGATAAAATGTATCTATTGAATTAAATGCTATGAATTTTGCAAATCTATCATGTCCAAAATTAGACACTAAAATACATGTACCTTATTACCTATTAATTAATTACTCTTTTTTGTTTCTATGTAATTAAAATAACTTCCTAATATTAATTTCTCTCGTTTATCTTCATTTTATAACCTATATTATACGTGTTATTTACAATAAATTAATTTCTTTTTACTTTTTCTTTTCAAGTCTGTAAATGTAAAATGAATTTCTTTTATAAGATGTGTACATTTGGATCAATTTTTATATATAACTAATATTAGAATTATAAAAATTATGATAAATTTTATTTTTAATAAAAGATATATATATATTTGATGTTTTGAATTGCATAATTCTCTTAAATTTTAATAAAAAAATATATTTGATACTTTAAATATAATTTAAAAATATTGTGAATGAATATGAAAACTTTATAAAATTTATATTTTTAGTTAAATTTTTAATTTTATATAATAGCGAACTAACTGTGTGCTACCATAAACCCGTATCAAATAAGGTATTTTTGTCATATAATTTATTTATTAATTTAAAATAAATATATTTTCTATTTTTAATAAAATAAATTTAAAAAAAATTAACAATTTAAGTACAATTATTGGAAGTGAAAAAAATTGAACTTTTAAAATTTTAATGAAAGAAGTACTTTCAATATTAGTATTTTATAAGAATATTATATTTCTATTTCTTTAATTGTTATTACTTTAAATGAATTAAATAATAATAATAATAATAATAATAACAATAATAATAAAATAAAAAATATATATATTATATGAATTGAACTAACCTTTTATATATAGAGATGTGTATCTATAAGTAAACATATGCATAAATAAAAAAAATATATATATATATAAATGAATAGATACAGATGTGTGTATGTATATATATGTAAATATATATGCATAAATATAAACCCAACAAAAAATACCATTAATTCAGCCTTAAAATGGTGTTTTTATTATTGTGTATCATATTAAAATTCAAACTTTGCATAAAGGTGTGTATATATATATTTACATATAAACCAAAGAGGGGGGCAGAACAAGGCAAACCTATAAGTGGCCACTTCGGCTTGGTCTGTTGTGACACTACCACACTAAATGATGTTAGTGCCTCAACCAGCTAGCTGGGACAAGCTTCTGTCAGGCCAGATGTCGCAACTTCAGCTCCACTCTACAGCAAGTTGTCGGTCATGTGCTTACATCTACGGTTAGGAGTGGTTGCATGTGAATGGAAGGCTTGGATTAACTGGACTTTTCCCTTAAGTCTTCTTCTACACCACAACTTCTTCCTCATTTCTTCTACTAACAAACAAACCCGCAAGAAAATGGTGAGTTTGGAGAAATTAAAAGCTTCGGCGGTGAAGACATTAGGGAAAACATAACGTGTGAGTGTTCGAGTGAGATTGGGAGTTCAAAACTTGGTTTCTGTTTAAGGTAAGCGTCTTTTCTCCTTGAATTGCATTCTTCCACTCTTCCTTCACACTTAACACATTTCTTAACAACTTCAGGACTCCAGATTGTGCAGAAGACTTCAACCGAAGCCATTTTTCTCAAATATTTCTAGAAGTTACAGACTGAGCAGGTATGCCACTGTCCCTCTTTTTCCTCTTCCAGTTAGTTAATCTAGTGAGACTTATGTAACCTAGAATCACAATAGGATATTAGGGATTTGTTAGAAATCAATTAGACAAAGCTAAACACTCTAGGAAACTAGAAATTAATCTCACTTTCTACAACAGTTGCGCGTATTGCGGAACTGTTCTTCAAGCTTTCAATCCAACCTTTTCTTGTGATTCTTTGGCATGTTGCTGCTACTTCTTTGAGGTAAAATGGGTAGTAGTTTAGTTCATACAAAGATGGCATATCTAGATTGCATTTCATAGGATGTGTTCTTTAAAAATGCATAGAGGAAGTGGATTTTTAAATGGAAAAAGGGTGAGTGTGTTCATCTTGTGCTTAATATTATCTAATCTATTTTAATTGTATTCAATAAGTTTTTGTTATGTTTGAATGTGATTGACGATGATGAACGTCTTAAAACCAGAATAGAAAAGAAGGAGACGGATCAAAATGCCCTTGAAATCATGCTTCATAGTTTGCTGGCCCGACAGATCTGATAACACGTCAAGGGGCCTTCACGAAAGCCAACTGGGCCACAGGCCAAGCATGGGCACTTCCCATGGGCTGAATAATTGGAGAGGTTGGGGCCTTAGGGAAGAATCAAGAAAAAAAAATTAATTAATAGAATTGGGAAAAAAAATTTGTAATTAAGTGGAAATTTGTAAAAGTTATATTGGAAAATGGTTAAGTGTAACATGAGAGAGAAATTTGGGTAATATTTGTGATGGCTGCATTGAAAATAATAATAATAATAATAATAATAATAATAATAACAATAAAACTTAATTTAAGTTTAGAAAAGAATTAAACAAGAATAAAATAAAATATTTAAATTAATTAAAGAGAATTGAATTAAAAATCTAAGTAATCAAAATAATATAATTAACTATAGTTAAAGTTTAAGTAGAATAAATAAACTAAATAATAATTCAAGTAATTAAATAATAACACTAATATCACATATGGCAAAACAAATAGGATGAAATAACATATTAAATTTAAGAGAGAAATTATTAAAGAGTCTAAAATACAAATAACATAGTGTACATGAAATAAGGTTCAGTGATCGATGACCATGAGCCGATTGCATACATGTCTTGGAGCTCTAGTATTTAGACGATGGCAACCAGAATGATAACGGATTAATGACGACTGGAGAGTATTGAGTGATTTTTATGTATTTATCTATGTCTTTATTATTACTAATTAATTGTGCTTCCATCCTTAACTAGTTGGTGACCTGCCCTCCATGGAAGTAATGTAAGCAGTTCCGCACATAGACTTGTAAACAACAGAATTAAAATTAAGATAATAATTTGGTATTAAAACTAAGTTAGAAGATGTGTCTAGTTTTGGGTGCGTACGTGTGAATTATGTGAACGCATTGAATACGATATTGAGCGTCATTAATGGTTAATTGAGTACTATGTTACATTGTTTTCTGATTATTGCTTTTATCATTGTTTTCTTTAAATATGCATTAAGAAAATGTTTTCAAAGCATGTTTGTATGCCTTTAATATTGCCTATCTTATCTAGAATTAGAGCTCACCCAATTCCAAAACCCCCCTCCAAGATGCAGATTCTTATGAGTTGTTGAGGACTCTTGTCTAGTTTCCTTCCTAGAGGATAAGAAATGGGATTAGACTTAGTATAATTAGTTAAAACCCTTTAGAGGCTAGTATATTTTTTATAGGTTATCTCTTTTGATTTGTATATAAGTATAGATAACCTAATGCCTCAGTGTACAGTTTTTTATAGGTTGTATTGGGGTGAATAGTTCTGCTGCTATGTACATATCTTTCTTTATGCATGCTCTATTAGATGTTGGTGCCCCAATTGGCATCGAGACATTGCATTTTATATTTATAGCTAAATTTTAATTCTTAAGTAATTATAATTATAATTTAATTAATGACATATGTACAATATTCAATTTTTTTTGTTTAGATATAAATAAAAGGTTTATACTAATAGAGAAAGATATCTTACCTATTTTTCCAATAGAAATTTTATGTTTATATCCAAAATTTATGTACTTTTCTTTTAGTGAAAGCAAAATGCTTTTTGATTGCTCAGTAATAATGTTGCAGGTAAAACAAGTATATTGAATTGAATACTATGGATTTTGCATACCTATCTTGTCAAAAACTAGACATTAAAGAGCATGAACCTTATTATCTATTATTAATTACCCTTTTATGTTTTTATTTAATTAAAATAACTTCCTAATATTACTTTCTCTCATTCATCTTCATCTTATAATCTATAATTATTAAATTTAATTTACTTTTCATTTCAGATCTGTAAATGCAAGCTAAATTTCTTTTATAGGGATGTAATTTGGATGAGTTTTTACATATAACTAATATTACACTTACACAAATTATAATAAATTTTGATATGTTGGAGATACTATTAGTTATTAAATCCTTTCTTTTAATTACACAATACATATGCATGCATTCACAGGGATCATCATATATGTTTTGTGATGAGTATATTATATATATATAATGTGCATATTAGATATGATCACTATTATTATTAGGCAGCACAAGTTGTTTGTACTTAAAATGCATATATCATATGTAAATAGTGTTAACATTCATTGCATGCATGCCACTAGGCATATGATATGTACGGAAATGAAATAATACATAATATTGTATGCATATATCATACGTAAATTATACGTTGCACGTATATTGGTAGGCATATTATATGTAAAGAATAAAATTCTTAATAGCAAGTCAAAATTGCAATAGAAAGAGATATCTAATGATAAAGGGTTTAATATAATAAGAATGTCTAAAAATTTAAGGAAGTATAAATATGGTGATTAGAATTGATGGTGGTCTAGGAGACGAAGGCCCTCCTTCATTATTAATTCAAAATCTAGACAGCTTTCTTTAGTAAATTCATTCACTTGAATCATTAATGACTCTAATTCTTTAGCTGTTGAGCGATTAATTTCATTTGTAGAACCCACAACATCAATTTTAACCCCAACATCATCTGTTAACAACTCCATCTACTCAGTTAATTAGCAAATTGAAATCTTTATTTACAGAAGGTAAAATGATTTTCTCATTGCATTGTATCGTTGACAGTTTTGAGTTCTCTAATATTAGTTCATCTATGATCTTCACAGTCATTTTCTCTATTTTGGTTGCTGCCTCTTCATCTATTGTAGCTACAACAATCAAATTAATGCTATTAATATTGCTGTTAGACTCTTACCAAATATGATCACCATATAAAGAGTTTATATGAAGAAATAATGTATGGATAGAATAATATTAACAAAAGATAGGTTATATAATACTTAATTATTTTTAAAATCATATTAGATTTAGACTCAAAATGTTATGATATTATAAAAGTAGCTAGTCAAAAAGTATATTATTACTATAGGTGATTATAGTTAGTTAATGTGAGATTACATCGTAAATGTAAGATTACATTCTAGACAAACACTTAATTGATATTCATATATATATATATATATATAACATATTAAGCAAAAGTAAAAGCAATATATACACAATACATGGTTTCCAAAATACTGAGTCTTAGTGATTTTAGGTTTAGGTTGAAATATTATATCATTATCCATTTGTTGTGTTAAGAGAGATTTTTAGATGGTTCTAGATTTAGATTGAAAGAAGTATTGGAGATCCTTTATAGTTTTTTAATAAGGACCACCAATATATATATATCTTATGCTCCTCATCATTATTTCTGTTGTTATCTTTTTCATTGATCGAAACGCCTTTATTTGAATGTAAGCTCATCCTCATGAATAACTCTTCTAAAGAATTCTCACTAGATTTTGGAATCTTCTCTTTCATTTTTTTATTGTACCTTTTTAATGCACATCTTGACTTGTAGTTTGCGTTACACTTATCCGTATTTTCTTCTACCGATGAAGAACAACTTTTTTTTGTTTCCTGCACAATAAATATATTACTTGTAGCCTAATCAAATTACTTGTAGCATAAGCGTATAACAACTTAAATATGAATTAAATTGTACCTACTAAATAACAATTTGTAATCTATAAAAATAATAAATGAAGTTATATCACTCATAAAATGTATAAATGTATAACATGTAAAAGTTAATCTAATTATAATGGGATTAATTTCTTCTTTTGCCTTCTTTCTCTTTCCCTTCCTTGTTGCTTTCTAGGTCATCTATAAATACCAAAAATAAAGTCAACGTAATTTTCTTATCACTATGATTTTCTTTTATATGCACATATTAATAACTGCATATCATGTAATTAGGTTAAGTGAGCTATTTGAGAAGAATCTTTTTCATTTTCTATCTTCTTTAGTTCGGAATCCGTGAATTTTGTCTCCGTAGGTTTCATCATTTGTATAACGACACAAAACCAAGTTACATCAATTAATCTACACATGAATAAAAATATCAATTTCAATCTTATATGTTAATTAACTACTTCATCAATGAGAGAAGGCATCTCTTTTGCCACCCCTTTATGGTTTTCCTACCTAGTTGATATATCTAAATTAACAGGCAAATCAAGTATATTTTAATCAAAATCTTACACATTGAGGAACTATTACATGTATTTATAATATTTTAGTATTAGAAAATTAATGATGAGTTAAATATTATATATATATATACACTCAAAAGCAACATACATAAGTCATCTTTTAAAAAAGTCCAAATGAGGAGACATAAAATAATATTTGTATTGCAACAGAATTATGTATTCCATACAAAATTTACAAAATTTGTATCTAAAGGACAAATAGGCTATCTACTCATAAGGTACAAAAATAAAGGATAACCTAATTACAAAATAGAATCATTGAATACAATATAAAACCCTAGTATGCTCTAAACTGTTCCCCCTGAAAGGAGTTTAAACATGGCTTCCTAATATTTTCTTCTAACTCTACATTTGGAAAAATGGAGATTTAGGTGAGTTTTACAGACTCAGTAAGATAGACGAAAATAATGCACTACAGATAAATTTAAAAAACTTTATTAATGCATAGTTGGAAAATAATATTTAAAAAGAAATCTGATCCAATTTTATTGTCAAGTCAAATAGTCGATATTTCCATCCAAATTAAATATTCATCTTACTTAAAATGTCCCAAAGGCAGTTAATACCGTATTCGATGGGTTTACACAACTCACGCACACGAGATAAGACTCGTTTTTTGAATCAGTTTTAATTACAAATTACTTATCTTAAATTATGTTTCACTGATTACAAACTTACACGCGTAGGTGCCTACTCCTATTTCTGACGAGGGCAAACGAGATACCATCTAGTCATGGGTGGGTGCACAAATATTTACAAACATATATTCACTGATAACAAAAACAAATGAAATACTCTTAGGTCTCTCTATGTTGCCATCATTCATGTCGTTGAATTCCAGAACATGAATATCAAATCACCCAGAGTCCATTGAGACGACTAAACTATATGTTCCATGAAGGAACCAAAACCAACATTCATAACCTAGTGGCTTCAGAACAAATAACCAAATACTTCTCGAAGAACATACGGTGAATTGGATTTAAACCAGACTCTATGTTTAAGTTTTTAACTTATAATTTTTTTTATGTTGTTTAGAGTTTTAAATTAATTTTAGAAGCTAAAATTTTATTTTGTTTTTTCTTTTAAACTTAATTTAAAATATTTATTTATTAATTAGCAATTTAAT